GCGTGCATTGGTGTACAGGCATTTCAGAGACTGAGCCGAGTACATCAATTTCATCCCGGGGGGGGTGGGAGGCCTCTGGGTCTTTAGCACCTCAGGGATGTTGAAAATAAAACTAATTATTTGCTGTCATTGGACAGAGGGTGTGGAAATCCAGGACCTTTGAGCATTCCAGGTTTACTAACACCTGTCCTGTAGTCTGCTATTGCTAAAACACATGAAGCATTTGTTGAATGTGCATTACAACTAAGCACAAACGCAATACAAAAACTTTGCAATACTGACATCAATTTAGGCTGGACAGTACCTGTTCAGGTAATTTAATTATTCATTTAGTTATGTTTTATCTTTCAGGAATGGATTCTGGTTTTTATTTCAGATCTGCTTGTTCAAAAAAATTACAGTTAATTAGTTTTATGAAAGTACTGTTAAGTACAGACTGGTCCTCTACAAAGCAATTTTGGTTTGTATTTTCCAGATGTAGATCTCTATGCTAGATAAAGCATGGGAATTAGGATTTTGATACAAAATGACAGTCTTGATATTCAGATTCTGGGAAAGTTCGCATAATTACAAGTTTTACACTGCTATATTACTCTGAGTTCAAAAGCTGGAAGATAAAACACACAGCCCAAGCAGAGATGTTTGTTGTTTTGTTTTTTTTTTTTCCTGGAAATGACAGGATATCAATTTGCATTATTTCTACTTTATCTATGCAGCAGATGACTTTGACAAAAGTTGGCCCCGAGTATGTTTGTGAGCACGTACAGATTTCTGAATCTGAATCTTTGACTGTCAAGAATTGTATCTCCTGAAATGCAGAAAGCCTGAAGAGATTTACACCTCCTTGGTTTTAAATTAAAAAAAAAAAAAAATCCTTGTGGCTCACAAACAGAACTATTAGTCTTTAAGAGACTAAATTAAACAGGTTCCACAGCTTCCATGAAATCCATGCTGAGGATTTTTCATAATGAGGATCCTCGGTTTCAGGCTGAAGGTATCATCAAACGTGAGGTCCAAACTTTTAAGGCATACTCTATACCACTGTCCTATCCACCTCTCTTGTTTTTGACCTCCCGCATTTTTTCCCCCTACATCAAATTCTCAGCACTTATGTGCTTTATCCCAATTAAGAATTTGACTTCTCTTTAAGTGACTATTTGAAGATAGTGGAATTCTTTACAATGATCCATTGACTGTCTACTAACATCAGATACTAAAAGAGCCTGTGCTGTGCATGCATGAGCACTGCACAATAATCATTTGCAGACATAAAATGTAAATCTGTCTTAATGGTCAAGCATCTCAAAATAAATCCCTGAAATAGATTAATTTCACATTCATTTTCTGTTTAAAGCCATCCCTCTTCCTTTAAAACAGATGACTCTAAAATAAGTTACTAGGAAAACACCTGGAAAAGCAGCTTTCAGTACTTTTAAACCTAAACCTTTGCCAAGAGGTGTTTTGAACACTGCTCAACATAGAAGCTGGGCTAGAGTGTTATCTTTTTGGTCTCAGCTCATCCAGGTGGACAACTGCAATTTGAGAGCATGAGTAGGTGTGGCAAAACATCCATCTCAGGGATTAATTTTCTTTTTCTAACTTCTGGAAAAGGATGTAGAGCCTTAAGTTTCAAGAAACAACATGTACTCACCTGCAAAGTATGAAGTATATCTCCTCATTTTTATCAGAGAGGACAAGAAGACAAATTATCATCCAAACCATGGAAAATGAAGTGGTGGGCCAAAAGCCCCGGATTTTATTACCAGCACTTCAGTAGCCATCCTGTCTGCTGGATTTATAACCTGACCTTACACAGGTTCTGGAGACCACAAAGCATTTCGTTCATTGATGCACTCAGCACCAGAGAAACAGCAGGAAACTGTCCGAGCACATTCTCTATAACTCAAGAGCTTTTTGGGAGGCTACAGAAATAGTTTCATACAAAAGGTTTCCCATTATACATATTTTTCAGTAACTTCTTTTATTTTCCAGATAAAGGACAAGATTATGGAAAAGCCTGACCCTCTGAACTGTCTCTGATCATTGGTGACAAATGCTGGGACACAGGGAAAGCACCCAGCAGCTCTTGCCCAGGAGCACACGTGGCTGAATTTGTACAGGAATCTGGACAAAAGACCTTTCCTCTGCCTTTGGTCAGCTGTCACACACAACTATTTTCCTCATCATCACATATTTGAAAACAAACTGGAGAGAACTTTTTGATGTACCTAGAATTGGGGTATTCTTACAAAGCTGTTGGTTTACGTTTTGTGGCCTACAAACCTTCTGCTGAAGAAAACTTGGAATCTCTCATTTCCAACTAGTCAATAAAGGCCCCAGAAAAGCTATTTCCAAACAAACGTGTATGGTCCAAGTTCTTTGTTCATTGCTCAGCTTTTTAAAGGGAAAAAGTATTTCACCCATTGACACAGTGGCCAGAAGACCATTCACAAAACTTTACTTTGTGCACTAATGTCATCAAAATCAAGAATTAAAAATCAAGCTGCACATGGAAAAGTACATGGAAGCTGAAGAAAACAGCTTTTCCCAAGTTTCTTCATTCTTCAGATCACAGCTCTGGCACTTTGAAATTAAAGCTGAATGTATTTATTTATTTTTAGCATCTTAGGATCTCTGGCAACAAATCTGGGATAGTTCTAACCTAAGCAGTCATGTAAACTAGCATGCAAAACAACTAGGTGGGAATGGAGACTCGGTATATACAAATCCCTAACTTTCTCAGACTCTGCATTTGTTTTAAGAGCATTTGTTTGTGGTTATGACCTCACTTGTGAAATGCAGATGACAAATTTGCAAAGGAACTGTATACAAAGAGTGAAATATTCCTGTGAGTACATCAATAGCAAAGTTCATTGCAACCAGAGCTAAGTTAAAACAACATTTTGGGATTTCACAGCACTGACTGTAACAGAACTCAGCAAGTTTTTAGAAAACATCTCTATAATCTAAAAGCCATTTCACTGTAACTCACTAATTTATTTGCCTCCCTGAGTCTTATCTGCAGATGAAAAAGCAAAAGAGTGAAAAAAGATGATGTGAAAACCAGGAAAACATCTACAGAAAATATGCCAAATCCAAAGATGTCTTTCAGCAAGTAAGAGGGGAATAGCAGTAGCAACCAGAACGGGAAACTCAGTCCCCTTGGTTTAACAGCCAGGGAACACAAGATGCCCACAGAAACTTAAGCTTCAAGCTGAACTGCTCCCTCTACCACACAAGTAAAATAGGAGAGAAACATCTGAGCAGGTGGAGTGAACAGCCTGGGAAAACCAGAGCTTTGAACCACCTTGCACTCACCGCTGCTTTGCATCCTTGATTCTTTTCTTGACATCAGCCTCCCGGCGCATGGTTATTGCAGAGTTCTGGACTTGACGTAGCGTCATCTGCAAACAGCCATCACACAGTAAAACTGCTGCCGTGAAATTAATGAAATTAACTCACCTCTATGATTTCCCCCCCCCCCCTTCAAGAAGATCTCAGAAATGTTTTAAATGTAAAGACTTCACAAACAGTGGAGGGTGACAATCAGTACCAGGGCAGCACCTGCTGCTGGGTTGTTTAAGCAGCTACACAGTTGCTTGGAAGAAAATGTCTACATGTAACTAAATGTCTAAGGTAACTTAAACCAGAAGATAAGGGGGCACAGGAAACAACTTGGATACTGTTGTTTCCATTAGATGCCAATAGGAAGGATAATGATTTTATGCTGATGTCACTTGCTGACCCACCTGGTGTCCCCACAAGCCCTCCTACCACCCCACAGTGGGCTGGGTCACAGCTTTGCCCCTATCAAGAGCCACAGCCCCACTGGGAAGAAGCAAACAGCCCCTCTCCAAAAGCCCCTGCCCAAACGATTCAGAGCCAGCTGCGCAGGGATTGGGGAAACAGCCAAAAAGCACCCAATTTTACATCTGTTCAAACACTGCACATTCCCGTGTCCCCTTCTGCTGAGGCTGATAACAAATGAAGCACCTGGGGCTGCCCTCCTGCTCAGGATATATTGGAGGTTGCGGGCAGGGGAATTTCAGCACGCTTCCCACTTGGGCTGGAAACCACAGGCAGACGTTGAAGCATGCCCAGTGTTGATGAGACCACAGAACTGCCTGAACGCTGCTGGCAATTCACTGCCAAGTGAAGTTGCCACCTGCTTAACCTACACACTGGGTGCTACCACTGGGTGCTGCCCAGCCAGCGCTGCCCCAAAGCCAGCACTGCCCAAAAGCCAGTGCTGTGAACTGTCCCTCAGTGCCTAAAAGGTGACAAGCTGCCAAAGCACAAGGCTCACCCTGGACTCCCGTGTGAGATTCCCTCCTAGGTGCAGCTCAAGTGCACGGGCTTTACTCTCTGCTTCACGAGCCTTCTCCTCCGCTGAAACACAAGGGAAATGGAAGATGTCAACCATTCAGTACAGAGTATCATAAGGCATTCACCCGAGGAGACTGACTTTCAGACAGCCCTTGCTGGACTGACATGTACAAGGGTACAAAGGTAACACAAAAATGTACAAAATAAAACCTTACATATGAGAGGGCACCAAAAACATGCCAACTTAAACTTGCTCAGAGGTCGCAGTCAACACCAGCATAATAGCAGGGCTAGACTCTGCAAAAGCATGTTTAAAGGAAGGATCCATGAGGAAGTTAGCAAGGAACTGGAAAGACTAAGCATGCAAGTGGTCCTGCCTGTTCTGCTCAGGAGCATGAAGGCAAAGAAAAGCTCTCTCAAACCAAAGACCGAGTTCAGGCCCAAAAAGGGGTTACAAAAAGGTAATTTACTTCCAGAGATGAAGGGAAAGGACTACTCTCAGAAATGCTTTTATCTTGATAGTTGATAAATTTTGCCTGGAAAAAGACAAACCTACCACAAAATAGGACACAGTGTTCTGAAAAGCTACCACTACCCCTGATCTATGAATGCACAAATTTTACCACTTCAAAGAAATTCCCCTTTTCACTTCTCTCCCAGACTACCAACAAGACTGCCTGGCAATAGGTACACATCACTCTCATACTGCTTAAGATTCAGTCAATAAAATTCACTTTCAGCGAGCAGATTCCTTCCTAAAATTGAGACATAAGGTGCTTTGGTAAAGTAGCACCACGTACTTTCCATCTACGTGCTCTCCATCGAAAGGCACACTGGCGACAACTCCTTCACATTCCCTTTCAAGTCAGAAGACTGTTCTGCTCGCAGCAGTACAAGAACTAGTTGAGTGAATCATCTTCCTCTGTCCCACAGGCTATGACACCCATGGGTGTAAACATGGACTAGCAAGTAATGTCCTGCTTGGGCAGGGAGAGTTGGAGCTGCAGCTGCCACCTGCAAGCACTCGACTTGGGCACGTGTGCTGTGGATGCAGCACTGACCTTGCTGCAATGCTCCCCATGCTCGCTTCTGAGCACGGAAAGAGGATGCAGTGACACCGCAGCCTTCATGAACTGTAGAAATTTCTAACATAAATAAACTGGTACAAATAAAGTAGGAACCAAAATGTTTACATGAAAGATGACTAGAAGAAATGAAAAACATGGGTTAAAAGGCATGTGCTGACAGGCACAGAGGCGATTTGGAAATTGACCTGGCCTAAGATTTATGGAGGATGAGATAAGCAAGAAGATGACAGGGTAGCAATTGGCTCCTAGAGATGACCAAGCACCTCTCCAAAAAGCAGCACTCAGTTGCCAGCCAGAAGGAATCCAGACGCGGTAAACAGTGTTTGGTAACTGGTATCCACCATTCTCCATGCCACAGTCAGCATTACTTGTGGAAATGCGGGGTTTTGATGTGTGCAGGTACAGGAACACAAATCATAGAATCACATAATGATTTGGGTTGGAAAGGACCTTAAAGACCATCCAGTTCCAACCCCCCTGCTGTGGACAGGGTTGCCAACCACTAGATCAGGCTGCCCAGGGCCCCATCCCACCTGGCTTTGAATGCCTCCAGGGATGGGGCACCCACAGCTTCTCTGGGCAACCTGGGCCAGTGTCTCACCACCCTCTGGGTGAAAAATTTCCCCCCAGTATCTGACCTAGATCTCTCCTCTCAGTTTAAAACCATTTCCCTGTGTCCTGTCATTCTCTGCCCATGTCAAAAGTCACTCTCCCTCCTGTTTCTAAGCTCCTTTGAGGCACTGGAAGGCTGCAATGAGGTCTCCCCAGAGCCTTCTCTTCTCCAAGCTCAACAAGCCCAGCTCCCTCAACCTTTCTTCATAAGAGAGGTGCTCCAGCCCTTGGATCATCTTCCTGGCTCTCCTCTGGATCTGCTCCAACAGCTCCACATCTTTCTTGTGTTGGGGGCTCCAGACCTGGACGCAAAACTTCAGATGGGGCCTCACAAGGGCAGAGCAGAGGGAGACCTGTTTGTTTCCTTTTCAGAATTTGTAAGAGGATTTCTTGAAACCAGGCAATAGCAATACTAAGATGCCTCAGTGCAGTATTCAGTCTTGGTTCAGAAATACACAGAGAGCAGCTGGTGGTCTTTCACAGCTACCTCACCCAGGAATGGTACTTTTTTCCTGGGTCCATCTGGTCACTTAGGGATCTGGATGCTACAGCTTATTGCATGAGGCAGGGAGTCAGTTCTCAGGGAATGGAGTGGCTTTTCCTTATCTTAAATATATGTATGTCTGCATTCCTGAGCCGTGGGTCTTTTTGCATATGCCAAAGCCATGTCATCAATAGTCACAGTTGCCCATATGGCTTTTTTTTTTTCTTCCCCCACTATGGCTATTTTTTTGTTATTGTAAATTTTGGTCCAACAAGCTCATAATCTACTTCCAGAGACTCATCAATCTCTCAGTAGAGTTCTACAGTATGATGGATTCCAACACATCCCTGGCAGGCAGCCATGGCACACTGGAACTGCAGTTAGCTCAGCTGAGACTCAATATTTCTCACAACACACCCCTAGTTTTGAAAGAGAAAACTGCAAACCATTCCCTGCTGAAGATCCCTCCTAAGAACGGTTTTCATCCTCAAGAGAAAACATATGCTGGAGATAATGAGAAATTAATATTTTCTGTCAACAGTAGAACAAGGGAACGTGGTTGCTACAGATTAAATTCATTTTCCTAGAAACAAAGAAATGAGATCTGTGCCATTGAAGCTGAGGTTAATGCTACAAGAATGTTTCAGTCCTACAGGCTTCATGTGATCAAATCTTGCAGAAAACAGTCTGAGGTCTGCTGTGACTTTTCCCCACCATGTTCAAAGCCGTTTGCTCAGCACCCACATCACCACCAGAGGCAGTGGGTTAACAGCTTTGGTGATGAAAACGAGCTTATGTTTCCGTGCCAATGGTACCTGTTCTTAGCACTGGGACATCAAATAGCAGTATTCTTCAGCCTGAAGACATTAAAGCTCACCTATTAAACATCATGAAGGGTTCACAGACTGCTGCAAGAAAGAAGCCTCTCTAAATCATGCTATTTGCACCTTCTTGAAGACAACGCAAGTGTGTGCTCAACACCTGCTTTGGCTACAGGACTCAATCTGAAAAATAAATTCATCTATGAGGATTGAGCCACAGCATAAAATCTGCTTAAACTTCATAATTTCAAGTCTATCTTGTTAGGTTATACTTCATAAAGGAGGAATAGGGTACATAGCAATTTACATAATTTCATTTTGCTGCTTTGCTTTGGGCAGGATCAAAATCACGCTGCCCTTAAGGACTCTGCACAGACCAAACGTGGCACTGCCACTTGCGTATCTGACCTGCACGCACATGCACACATGCCTAGAGCAGCTCTCACACAGGGAGAGAGGACACTTGCTTCTGATTGATTTAGGAAGTTGATTTATGAAACCTACCAGAAGATATAGGTCAACATGTCTTACAACTTCCAAGATGCCTCCTTCACTACGGTATTTTCCCATCAGGGGTTGGGGAGAAGACTGCTTAGTCTATCAAATTTGTGTGAATTTAATTAAGTTATATGCTATATTTATATGCTTATGTAATTTCTATATGCTGAACATGAAATTCGGTTTCTCCTGAGGACTACAGGACTTAATAGGAAGGGAAGACTAGATGGACAAAAGGTGTGTCTTGATGGGAAAAAAAAACCAAGAACCAAAGCAGGACTCCCTTGTACACCCAAGTGTCAATTACTCTACATCAGGTGACACAATAAGAATCTATTTTTTTAACAACTGCCTCAACAGGGAAGGAACAGAAGGAGAACAGAACCAAAAGCTAATGATATGCAAAAGGGGAGAGCAGAATTTCAGGGCAACGGGGCAGCAGCTTAGCCAGGCTTCAGCCGTAGCAAGGGCAGTGACTCCAGGGGTTATTCTGTACATGTATCCCCAGAGGAAGTGGTCTTAGGGAACGAAGTATGTTCCTTCTATTGCATGGAAGTAATTCTGGGTCATCTGTAGCCACTGTAATAATTAATTTCCTGAGCAACTGTAACAATCACAGAAGCAAGCAATTTCAGATCATACCCATCAAGACAGCCTCTTTCAGTCCTTTCCTTTGCTATAGCACAATCAGGACGCATGCATACCCCGAAGACTCACCTATCCTTGCCATGTGCTCTGCTTTCTTCACCTCTTGCTCTGCACGGGTCTTGAAACGGTTTGAAGTATATTTGTACATCCTGCGATGATCAAAACTTATTAATCAGCAAACTCAGCAGTAAGGTCAAGCCAAGATTTCATCACTGTATGAGAGAATAACATCTCCACATGCTACTCCACTCTTCTCAATAGATTCAATAAATGGAGAAGGAGGTTTACTTATCAGGAACTCGGCATTTTTGTATGCAGTTAGGCAAAAACTTTTTAAGTCAGAGATGCTTTAGTAGTAGTTGCAACCACAATACCCTCTTCTGCATTAGTCAGTGGGGGTGAAACATATCCATATTCTTGGAGAAAATCCCAAGGTTGAGAGGAATAACTTCAGACGCAGAAAGGAGGAGTTCATATATACGGAAAGGTTCTCAAAACCCTCTCGTTACAGAGGGTTAACAGATAACCTCAGATAAACCTTCCTTTCTCCTGCAAACAGCTGCCCACAGGCACAGTCTGACAGTGTCCATCTCCATGCAGGGCTAGCTCAAAGCCTTTAACTGGCAGAGCAACTCTCTGAATGGAGCTTCAAGTTGCAGCTCTAAAATTTCAGGACATTTCTGTATGCTGCACATCTGACTTACAACTTTGTAAAGTCAGTTTCACCTTCCCTATATCATAACATGCCAAATGCAGATCACAGCCTGACTGACTGCTGCAGAGTGGAAGAGGCAGGCGTGTATAGAGGCAGAAGCTCATGAGTATGCATCACCGCTGTGCAGAGGCACTTAACTGTGGAAGAGGAGATGACATCAAGAAGGATGATCAGAGCCTAAAGGAAATCAAACCACCTTAAGACTCAAGGTTTTGGATGTATCAAGAGGAAAATCCCATCCCAAGTAACTTTTTACAAAAAAATAAACCTCTCCAACATTTAGCCAAAGCAAAAGCCACTAGAAATGCTGCTTTTACAGAGAGAGGAGGAAACACATAAGGGCATAAGACTGAATTGACCAAGTCATTAATGTAGGAGGAACCACATTTAGATCCCAATGAGGGACAAGGTCCCCCCAAAGGGCAGATAATCTATCAGGATCCAGAAGAAGTCACCTTGCACAGATGAAAAATTTCATTTAGGTATGTTTCTGTGTGCAAGCACACGTGGATGTCAATACTGATGTCAGAAATAGTCTCACCTTGTTCCCAAATCCAGAAAACTCACACCACAAGCACAGTCCACTTAAATACATTTCTGCATTTACTAAACTAATTTTCTGCTATTCATAAGGATCTCCTCACTGGAGAAAAAGTAGACAGGTGGTAACTCTTCCAGAAATCACCCAATAACCATGTTAGGAGATGTAGAGTCAGGTTTTTGGTGGTGCCATCTCCTCAAATCTACTTAAGCGTGATTAAAGCTACCTGGGGCCAAGAGAGAGAACACATTCTGAAACCAGACTGCTTTCAACATGCCAGCATAATTAAATTACCTCATCTACATTCAACCTGACTTTCCTGAGGGGGGGGGCGGGAAGAGAGAGAAGCAGGGTGAAGCTGAATTATCTCAACACGCCCAGCTCAGGAGGCAAGGCAGTACCTGAAGAGGACCTTAGGGACAGCAACCCCTTTGCAACATGGTGAAGTGTGAGGGACTGCAAGGTGGCCCAGATAGGAACTGTGAGCCATCACCGTGCCCATCCTCCTGTTCCACTTTCTTTTGCAACACCAAATGACTTCAGTCACTGCCAGGAAAGCTCCCATGCACGTGGTCTGGAACAGCGCATCTAGCAAAGACGTACGAAAACAGGTCAGACAGACAAGAAGTCTGTAGGTTGCAATAGTAAAACACACTCTTCGAGGTTCAAGACATTCATTACAACTGCCTTGGACATGGCCTGGCTACTTCTATCTGCATGGCCCATGCTGCTAAACAAGCTCAAACAGTTCCTGTGGGAGAGAACAGATGGAAGCAAACCTTCAGGAGACACGAGCCATTCCTAGGGAGGTGGGTACTGTGGTATCACACCTGCAAGCACTGGTGAAGGAACTGCACAAAACTAGCCTGTCCCTGCCACCAGGACGTTACAAGCTCCAGAAAGGTACGGAGAAGCCTCTACCCACAGAAACACAGCTTCCAGAAAGGGCAGATGACAAAAGGAAAACAAGTGCCCTGCTCAGAAGACAAGCCATTAACTCCTGATGAAGAACAGCGCAACGGCAGCAAAACCACAATTGTCAGTAAAGGACTTAAATACCCTACAGCCCATGATGGACTTCCATTTTTGCTCTCTAACACCAACACACTAACCCGCAGACAAGCCACTGTATAACCTTTTCCTTCAGAGAGGAAGACAATCTGACTTACAGCCCTACTGTAGGAGGGGAGCCACCACCTCCTGAAGACAATCCTCCTGAGCAGATCTTGAGAGCAGACCAGAGGGCAGAGAGACAGGCCAATGGCTGTACCTACCAATGTCCAACGTAAGGCATGAAAGCATCACTTCAAACAGAAAGACACCTGGCCCAAAGTGTGACAAGAAGTAGGTAAAAAGACCACAAGCAGGAGTCATTTGTCAGCTCACCATCAGGTAATGACCTGCCCTTTGCATGCCAGGCTGGTTTATAGCAGACTTTCTTATAAAACCAACAATATGGATGGACAGGTCCATCTGACAGATGAATGGCATTCCCTTACAGTAGTTCACTGGCCTTTATCAGGAGGATATGAACAAAATTAACACCTGTTTAGGCTCAGGCATCATGACACTTCCCCAAAGACTAGCAAAGAGCCCTTCAGTACACACTACACACAGCACACTATCTACTTGGGCTGTCAGACAGGAGAACCTTCACTGCCTGTTACCCATCCCTTTGCTGGACCAGGAAAGTTTAACAGGTACCTGGCCCAGGCTACTCAGGCTCTGCAAAAAACAGCTACGCTGAAGAGCTGAGCATCGCTGCCACATCAACCGTCCTCTAAAGGAACACTAACGGTGCTACACTTCCCCCTGTGTCCCCATACAAACTAGAGTCCCTCTGCAAGTGAAGGGGAGTAGTATTAACGTGCAGAGCACTCAAAGCCCAGTAGCTAACTGGGGATGCGTGAGCTCTGGCTCCAACTCTAAAGGGAAAATTGAGGGTGTAAGCAACCCTTTTCAGCAGGTTCAGGGAGAAAAAAGAAAAAAATCACCTACAGCTGTAAAAGCAGAGTAACTCCACCCTCAGAATGGCCATAGGGCAGACTAAGCTCTGCTCAGGTGTCTGAAGGTAAGATTTGAGTTTCCACAACTTGTCCAGGGCACAGTGTGGGCACCTACCCAAGGGCTGTGCTGACTCTCAGAACCCACAGTGAAGGTTTCAATGGCTCGTCCCAATGGCCACGCAGCTTCTGGAGCCCAAACCTGGCATCAGGAGTCTAATACCAGAAGGAAGCAGTCTGGACACTCTCCAGAAAGACTTGGTAAGGCTACAATAATTGCCCCAAGTCCAGGAAGATCTACACTTTGCTTTACAGAAATGCCTTGTTTGCACAGTCTTTTCTACTCCACTGCAGGAGTGGGGATTTTAAATGTGAATGCCTTTACAGTGTTGTGGAATTTTTATTGCCATATCACCATAAGCAGATCTACAAGGAGTCTGCAAAGATGCAGCACAAGCAGATTTATTAGATACACCTACACCAGCACCGATCCCAACCCCAGGAGTGTCAGCATGGGGCACCTTAGCCCAGTGCTGGGTCCATCCCCAGCACCAGCTCCATTTACCACAACTGGCCCCCAAGCACTTGGCATTCACCGTTGTTACGGGACAATACTGCAGCATTTCTTACCTCATCAGCCAGTGTAACCCATTCTGCCATTGGGCCTTCTTGCCTTCCCTGTCAGATCATTCCTTGGTCATGAATTAACATTGCTGAGCAGTTACAATTTGAATTTCCCCTTCAACAGCTGCAACTATTCCCCAAAGGCAAGGAAAAGCAGATACAGAATTGGTGACAGGGACCCAGAAGAGTTGCTGTCTAAATTGTCAAAAATAGTCTCTTTTCAACAGAAAACAGTCCTGTGGTGTAGGACAAAATTCTCATGCCCCTCCCCAGGCATCAGCTCCTGACCACTTGAAAAAGAAGATACTGAGGCAGATGAACATCTGGGGCGACCCGGTCCACGTTATATCATCATGACAATGCTAGCACCATCCCACAGCAATGGCATCTTGTATTTGAGTCTCACAAGAAGCCAGGCTCTGATGAGATAAAAACCTGTGCCCTTCTCTGCTTTCTCTCCACAGTAGTTTTGTTGGATGTCAGCACAAGAAACAGCAGCACATGGCACTCACACATAGGTAAAAAGCAGTCAGAAATTCAGAGATTCTCCACCCAGCAAATTGGAATTTACAGTGACAAGTTAAGCTGCACCTACCAACTTGCTTCTACAACGAAATGACTGCCTTGGTCAACAGCTGGAGAGCAGCAGATGTAATCTCCCTTGACTTCGATCAAGTTTCTGATAAAATTTCCCACCTTTCCATTTAAGAAGCTGAGGAAGTATGAGCCTGACAGAGCAGCTGTAAGTTGAAAACTAGCCAGGTTATGAGGCCAGCAATCAGTGTCGTGACATTGGATTGTGGTCAGTCAAAGCACCTGACAAGTTGACAGTGGACCCATACTACTGAAACACCACTGTGATCCAAAATGCTATATTAAAACAATCCACAAATACTCTATAAAATTACTACTATTTTATTAAGACAAGTCATATTAAGGTATCTAGAATGCAGCCCATGTGCTCCCAGGTGCAGAAGAACACTATTGCCTCAAGCAGACTTAAATACATGTTTTCCTTTCCCTTCCCATCCTTATGACCTTTTCCAGTATCTGTTAAGCCAACTGGCGGTAAAACCTCAGCTCACTTTCAAATTTATTGCTTAAGGGCATTTAAAAGGAAGATAGGGGAAAGTATTTCCCAATCTCCATTCAAACCTAGATCAGCTACATACAAAAGTTAATTTTCAAAGCAACCATTTCAAAGTGCTCAGTCTAATTTCTTTTCAGTAAAAATTCTAACAAGCATGTTAGAATATATTTCCTTGTCCTACTTAAAAAAACCCAGTTACTCTCTAGCTTTGTATGGATATGGTATTTTAAACAATCAATATCTTCTCTGACAGGGATACAAATGGCAAAAATTAATCATGTGATTTTCCACTGTCTAACTCTTTTTCCATTATGTCAATACCACACCCCATTCTCTCACAATCTGTTTCTGTGGCTTTAACATGGACATTATGCAGGATGAGCAAAATGCTAAACCTTTTCTGTAAGGAAACTCCAAAAGGTCCCGAATGTCTGCAGACTTTGGGTCCAACACTCACCTTGGCTTGTACAGGCAGCAGGAAAGTCGCTTGGTTTGCACTTTGTGTCCATTTATGAAGATCCTCATTCTGGGATCAATATAAAGCACAGCAGCGTAGGCACGGAAGGAGCGGCGCTCAGGCTTTCTGCAAGAGAGGGATGCTTACAGAGACTGAGCCGTTTGTTCGGCATTTCTTTGTAGGATTACCAGCAGATATTCTCCCAGACTGGTCCACATAGCCCAGAGATGACTCCATCGATTCACCCCTGAGTTATCAGTGTCTCTTTAGTCAGAGTGCTCATCTTGGAGCCTCTTTCCATCTGCATTCCGCTTTCTCTTTCCTTCACAGCCTCCTCCCCTTCATTCCTCTCCAATCAAGAACAGCTATGACACACTACTGTCACAGGGCCTCCTCCTCTATCCAAACCAAATGAACACATTTCTCCATGGACAAAACTCCTAAGATTCTCCTTGCCCAAGAAGCTGCTACCGAGAAGCAAAGTGACCAACAGCAGCACCTCCCTCCATTGCTCTGCACTACCCCTGGTGTATTTTAAGCACCTACCACAGGATTCACATATGGTGCAGCTGGAACTGTTACCATCTCAGCTCATAGCCATCTACTTTGTAACACACCAGAGAGACAACCATCAGCAAGAAAGCCAGGTAAAAGAAAAAGCCCTTCTGTTTTAAGGCCCATGCAGCTGCATTAAGTGAGGCTTTTATTTTAAATTTCTTCTACCTATGTCTTCTACAAAGATTTTCTGTTAAGCTGTACATTTTAAACACTGTTACAGAACACTGATGCACACATTACTGTAGCTAGAAAAGGATGTTTTGAATAGAGCGGGATAATGAAGGTCAAACCTATAAACTGGACCACTTGCATGCCCCACTCGCTAGCATGTTCTCTGACCCTTTGGTTAGTCAGGAGTATGCTCTGACAGATACTGCACTGATCACACACAGAAACTGTATCACAAGGTCAGAAGGAAGAAGTTCCTTCCAGCGATTAGCGGTAATTGAGGGCTGGAGCACATCTCCTATGAGGACAGGCTGAGAGAGTTGGGGCTGTTCAGCCTGGAGAAGAGCAGGCTCCGGGGAGATCTTATAGCGGCCTCCCAGTACCTGAAGGGCCTACAAGAAAAATGGGGAGGGACTTTTCATAAGGGCAGTTAATGACAAAACAAGGGGAAATGGGTTTAAACTGAAAGAGGGGAGGTTTAGATTAGATATTAGGAAGAAGTTCTTCACTGTGAGGGTGGTCAGACACTGGAACAGGTTGCCCAGGGAAGTTGTGGATGTCCCCTCCCTGGAAGTGTTGAAGGCCAGGTTGGATGAGGCTTTGAGCAACCTGGTCTAGTGGAAGGTGTCCCTGCTGCTGGCAGGGGGGTTGGGACTAGATGATCTTTAAGGTCCCTTCCAACCCAAACCTTTCTATGATTCTATAATAATGAAACCTCACCAGCAGGCATTAAAGAAACTGAGAAGCATATTAGATCCCTGGAGGTCCCTAAGGAGTTTGCTGCACCTGTGTGCTCAATAACATCAAACTAATCCATACAGAAATAGACAGGTTTACAGTGTTTGAAACTATATTTCGACAGGAAATTCAGGCACTTCAGGGAAGAAGCATGTAATCTCATAAAAAAGGTAAAGCTTGCTAGGTGTGCTCATGGAGCTCTGGTCTCTGAACGGGGTCCTCTGCTCCTCTAGCTGCCCTCTGAGCACATCCTTCCTCCTCTGCAGGGAAGTCCAGGTGCTGTCCCTGCTCCCAAAAAGACCTGGTGATCCACCCCACCTGCAGCCACCCAGACCATCCATTCATGGAGGCTGACCTGCGCAGCGCCTCGCCTTTTGCCAGGGTTCATTTAATCACAAAACTGAACATCAGTTTGAGAGCAGCACAGACTCAGAAACAGCTGCTGTTCTGACAAAAACATCTTTATTCAGTGCAGAAAATTAAACCTACGGCTTAGGGCTCCTTTGTTTTAAGGTGCCTAAAGAAAGGTATCGAGTTTGCTGTTTTGACTAAGCTGAGACAAGCAAACACGGGCATTCACGCCACACACACAACCATCATGTCTGCAGGCTGTTTATACATATGAAGTCCAAAATGCTAAAGAACAAGCTAAACATCTAAATTCTCCAATTCACCATAGAAAGAAAAGCTTTTTAAAAACACGTGCACACAGTATACAGCCAAACCCTACACAAAATTTGCTCAGGGCCAGTAACACCCGTGACACTTACGTTCCCTCTGGGGGTGTTTCTGCCATCTGAATGTCTCGGGGGTCAGAAGTCACATCCAGCTCTGGTTCTCCATTATCCATTAGTTTGAGGTTAAAGATGATCACCAGGGTGCCTGAGCAAGTAACAAGTTGATCAGGTGAATTCCAGCCAAATCCCCAATACCTTGCCAGTGACCAGCACCATTCACACGTACCTTTCTCACCACGAATCTTATTGAACTGCTCCATCACTTCCTGTTCTGATTTGAAAGGTGAATACTTGTAAATTAGCTCCGTCTCAATCGCAAACTTCTCCATGTTGTCAGTCACAGGCTCCCAGCTCTGTACATTCCAGGTGGGCAAGGGAACGATGACCTGCAAATTGCATCGTACCAAGAGCAACTCAGGTACTCACCCTCTCCAGTCAGCCCCTTCTGCCGACCACGGCCAAGCAACCTACGCCTTCCAACAGCCCCCTAAGTCACTGCAAGTGTCCTTCCTTGCCTTTTCAGTGGTTTGCCCTTCTGTCAAACGTTCAAGGACTCTGCTTTGCCAGCTTCCAAGTTGCCTTCCAACAACAACTAGTCTTAGACTGAACCATTCCCAAGTAACCTGTATGGTACTGGCTACTCTCACACTCAATGTCTGTTTTCCCCTCCTCTTGTAACAACTTTCCTAATACTATAAACACCCAAACATTGGTGCTTTAAAAAGTGAACCTCTGTGCTTAACTTCTCTCTTGAACTCAAATATCCTTCATTCATATTTATCCTGATCTCACTCTTTATTATTTCTAGGATTCTAGCAAGGTTATTGGTGTTGTCTGTTGTTTAGAATAAAAACACAGATAGAATCATAGACTGCAACTGCCTATCAAGGGCACTGAATCCTGTCCTCACTTTAGAATTGAGGTCAAGACAAAACTTCTGGCTTCAGAGCTCCTGTGAGAACTATAACAGTGTTCCTAACCTGCTTCAGCCACCAGCTGGCCACTAGCAAGCACTGCTCCCTCAACAGCTTTTTGGTAGAGCTCCTTCCACTGTCACAACAGAAAACACTCTCTTAGATAATGTCCTAGTGCAAATTTAAAACTTTTCATTATCAGTCTTTCCTGGAAAACACTTGTGCTTGAGCACAAAAATACTTCCACGTTAAGAGTGGGAATACAGAACAACAATGCCTGAATTATCTATTAAGATACACAAGTTTTCAATTGGTAGAACCACACTGATTTTTTATTTAAAAAAAAATAAAGATCTGAAAGAAGAGACATGTCTGGAGTTTATGAGCTGTGGGTAGCAGTTTCAATCACACCTTTAGTTCTCCACAGAAAATCAAATCAGAACAATACATTTAAATACATCTCAAACTCAAGTTTTGTGGGAAAAGGAAAATGCAAGAAGTCTGGGCATGTCCTGAACTCAGTGTAAGCAACTTGAAGTGACTGAAATGAGCCCTTCAAACTTGCTGTAGTTTAGAGAGACCTCTCAAACACAACTGAAACCAAAAGGAAAAAATCCTTGACGACTTTGCAGAACCCCTACAAGTGTATGACCAAGAGAAAACCAGACACTGGTCCCACCAGAGTAGCCACAAACAGTTAACACAGACGCTTCTCCTGTGAAAGCTGGGGAAGTTCAGATAAGACAGCATTCACTGTATTAATTCATTACAACAAAGTACATGCAAACCTCATCAATGCCTTCTTCCTCGTGGAACGTCCGTGACAAGAGGAGGCAAGTCATGGCATTATCTTTCTTTGTGAACAGGATAAAATCCTTCCCAATCCGCATGGAACCCCTGGAGACAGATTTCAGTCTGCATGTTACACCTGATACACACCACCTTCTAGAAAGCAGATACATTACTGAGTTTTCTTCCCATTATGTTCAATTATGAATACCAAAAGGCAGAAGAAGGGCTTAAACAGCAACATCTCATTTCTTTCAAAAGGCATCTCAATCTGGACATTTTCATAACATTTCAAAACATTTAACATTAGTCCAATTAAAAGGTGCAGAAGTACAGTGCAGCTTTCATATTATGTAGAAAGTTCAGTTTTTGGGGTTTTTTTAATCTAAAAAAGATGACTAAGGTGAGATGTGACAATAACCTTCCAATATATGAGCAGGAACATAAGTGAGAAAGCAAATGTACACTTCATTTCACTGTACACAGAATGAATAGCAGCAGACAAATTTCTAGGAGACAGATAGTTGATCTTCTAATGTCTAACTTGAAAGACTCACTGACACTTCAGCTAACGCAACTTAGCAGTGAGTTGCCACGAAAACGGACAGTCCCATCTTCCTCCCCGCTCTCCTATCCCCAGCAGTGCCTTCCCCATCTTCCCTTTAACCCTATTACCCAACTCGTCCAGAAAACCTTAACTGGGAAATGAACATTGCATCAAAAGAAGGATCAGTGTTCTGTCAGTCCAGTTCTCTCAAGATTGCTCACCTTTCACGTGTTCAGGCTTCAGTCTGCATGTCTCAGCTATAATATAGTATGTCTCTCACTAACGTAAAGAAAAGGACAGAGATCTGTCCTGGAAGTGCACCGGCAGGATCTGGGATCTGTCCTGCACTGCAGCTGCATCAATAGTATCTCAAGATCCCTTCATTCTCTTTTTTGCTTTCCCCTCAGATATTTATAGAGTCCCACAGATTTCCTGAGTAGGATGCATATAAACGATCAAGCCACATGGAACAGCATGAAGCAGAACAGCCCATCAGAGTCAGCTATAAAAGCTCTTTAACTCTCCCAGAGACATCAGTTCACCACAGCAAACACCATTCTCCTTCCTAGCAAATTCCCTCCAACCACTAAGATTTCCTTCCTGCTTCTGTTCTTCTGCCACTTAATCCCACTCTTCCTCTCACTCCTTCCATTATTCCTCTTCTTCTCCATGCATTTGTCTGATTTAAGAGAAAAAGAAAAGGTTTAAGCCCATCCGATTTGCACCAGACAACCTTCCTAGCGAGAGGCTGCAGCACTACTTTACTCCAATTCTACTACCTTTCTGCCACAGGCATATTAAAGTTTTGTTTCCTGCTTTATCATTTTTTCCCCCAGCTCTGATATGTGTCCTCTGCATCATGCAAACATAATGGCAAAACACTGTCATCAGCTTTGGACAGACTTCTCCGCCACTGAAGAACTACAGTAGATGTTCATAGAGCTCCTGTCTACTAAATCATGGTATCTTTAGTTAGATTTCATCTGTTTGTTTGGAGTTTGTTTTGTTTTGTTTTGTTTTGTTTTGTTTTTTGTTTTCCCTGGGGGATGGAAGGGACCAGATATACACCTCCAAGCAAAAAATACATTGACGATCTAACTCTAACCTACATAATCTCAGGAGGCTGACTTTTGTTATACCTACGATTTCAAGCCGTTCCCATACTGCCCAATTTGAGTTGACTCAGGTGATCGCTTGGCTGATTTACCAAACTGAATAACACTGGCAGCTTCATCTGGAATGAGACAGGGAAAAATAAAAAGCTTATTTTAATATACAGACGCAAACACACACATCTTTTAGATAAACTTATTCACCACTGTAAGTAGCAGAGAGATGATAGGATGGAAGAAGCCAGAAGTCCGAGCCAAAGTCTCATCCTGAAGCTGAAGAATCACAGAATCACAGACTGGTTTGGGTTGGAAGGGACCTTTCAAGGTCATCTAGTCCCTGCAGCAAGCAGGGACATCTTCAACTAGATCAGGCTGCTCAGAGCCCCGTCCAACCTGACCTTGAATGTTTCCAGGGATGGGGCTTCTACCACCTCTCTGGGCAACCTGGGCCAGGGTTTCACCACCCTCACTGTAAAAAATTTCTTCCTTATATCTATAGAAAAGACTTAAGAATAGGACAGAGATCTGTCCTGGAAGCACACAGGCAGGATCTGGGATCTGTCCTGCACTGCAACTGGATCAACAGTATCTCAAGATCCCTTACATCCTCTTTTTTTCTTTCCCCTCAGGTATTTAGTCAGCCACAAAAGCCCTGTAAGATATAAATTGCTCGATGGCATTTGTTCAGGTTTGTGCAGATGCCATTATGCTGACAAAAAGTTTTAAGTTTCAGACTAGCCGAGTGCCCTGTCTGAACTGAACAAAGACATTTCTTTTTACAAAAAAATGTCCACAAGATGATCTGTTGTGTCCACCACAGTTATCAACAGGTTCATAAACCAAAACACACCCTGGGATGCCACAGTTCTGCTGTACTGCGCGTACTGCTGACACCACAACCTCTAAACCACTGGCATTAGACCGTAAGTCAGAACTGTAAAAAAGATCTTGAATCTGGAATAAACATTACTTTTTTCATGATGTTGAACTGAACACTATGATTAACACACTAGTAAGACAAAAGCTAATTTTGGTAGCAGATTGCTGGAGTACTGACAGCAGGACAGCTGTGGGGGAAAAGGCAGCACTAGCAAGTGCTGCAGCAATTACTGGAGTATTTTATTAGCACAGGACAAAATAAAAGGACCAAGCTTTTCTATTGTTCAAAGGATAAAGGCATTTAACATCATCCACAGGACAGAACAATTCCTCTCCCTTCCCCCAGGAGATAGCAATCACTTCACCATAGAGTTAGCTGGGAGAAATGAAACAATTCTAGAGACAAGGAACACCAAGTGCCTTAACAGGAAGGAGAACAACAATTACAGCTCTCAAATGCGTACACAAGCTGTGAGGGAGCTCGGGACATCGCTCACCCCACCAGGCAGCTACAAGGAGGCTGAGCCCATGGACAAGCTGGATCTCAGCTCTCAGGAGACTTCCCCAGGTCTAGTAGTACTGACAGCAAGTTTGTAGAATAAGAGGTTTAGTACTAACACCATTGGTCTGACATGAAATCACTGAGGTGAGTGTCAGAATGCCATTTGCCATTGAAATGACATTCAGATTTAGAGCCACAAATTACATGAGAACAACTGCACAAGCACCTCGCTGCCTCAATTTGGTATGTTCATAACAAAGGTCCACAATTATTTCAAAACCTACTTGTGAGTGGATAAGAGTACCTTTTCCTTTCCTTCAGGAAAATGTTAGATTATCTCCTATCTGGAGAGCTGGGTAAGGATATTTATTATTATTATTATTATTACTACTACTACTACTATTACTATGTTACTTTTAAAGCCTGGTCAGAAAAGGGGATAGGGGATATTCTTAAGAAGAGAAAGCTACTGGAACCCTTTTGCTATACAAAAACTTATATCAACTATTTTTAAGAAAACTTTGAGAAGCTTAAAAAGGGAAAAAAGCAATTGTCCAAAGCATTTCCTCTCCCAGAAAAGGTGACCATATGGCTTCTCACTCAATGCTGGATGTTCAAAACTCCCTATAAAGATTCTTCTTTCTGGGCAGAAGGATGAAGATAATGCCAAGCAGAGGGGACTGTGAGGGAGTGAGGGAGCATCTCTCTGCTCCAGGCTCACTGTCTTTGGGAGAGATTTAATCTTTACCACCTCCCAGGAATTAAGGTATACATTAATTTTTTTCCAGTTTTTTTGAGTTAAGGCTCTGGACAGAATTTCACTGAAGGCTATTTCAGTCACATTGTTTTTGTTTCATCGTGTCTCAGAGTTACTGGATTAAAAAAAACCTCCACAAATTCCCTGGCAACAAAAAGGGGGGTGATGTGATCTATGCCAAACAGACAAGAGAAAAAATAACCCAAAGGAATTAGCTCATGATGGCAGACTGATCTTCAGAGCCCAAGAAAAGGAAGCAAGGGCACAGATAAAACATTTCCTAATGAGAAACATCAGATTCTTGAGATGACAAATGGAGGGACGGAGCTGTTCAGTTCCTGACTGTTGGTCCGACAGGACAGGACAGAGCATCCTCCTGAACGAGAGAGGCTGGTACCGCACGCAACGGTTGAGACACAATGCACTGCAACAGCCCTGCGGCCACCTGCCTGCACCCCGCTATGGGTCACAAGCCATCCTTCCCAGTCCCACGCTATGGGTCACAAGTCAGACCTGGTTTCACCCTTTGAGGAGTCCTCTCGTATTTCCATGTTCTCCAGTCAAGAATACACCAAAGAAGGTTCCGATCTGAGCACAGAAAACCATCCTTCCTGCCTTCTTCAGAAATTTACCTGCTACATTCACATTAAGTAAAGTACTTGCAGTGGACTTGACAGCATCCTCAAAAAACATCCAAAATATCTAGTTTACTGCCTGGAGAAAATCAGTCTAAGCCAAGATTACTTCCAGTCAAGCAATCCCTGGGACAGGGAAACAAAAAGGTAACTGCTAGAATTCCAGTTACATTGAAACACCGTTCCTCACCATTGTGAGCCTTACAAAAACAGTATTTTAAAAATATAAGATCTAATAAGCTAACCAAGACATTAGTACTTAATTAGCTGCATCCAGTAAAACAAAAGCACTTCTGAGCTTCCAAACTTCAAAAATACAGTTTAAAGGAGCAAGAATCGATATATTTACTTCAATCCCTGGAAAAGGAATGGAACGAGTCCTCTTAAAAACTACTACAAGCCAAATGAAGCAGATGATTGGGATAAGCCAGCATGGGTTTACCAAAGGCAAGTCACACCTGACTGATCTGGTCTGACCTTGCCTACAGGAAGGCAGCACTGTATGCGCTCGTGGGGAGAGCAGTGGATGGTGTTTAGCTGGGGTTCAGCAAAGCACTGGACACTGTTTTCCACAGCCTTGACCTGGACACACTGGCAAGACACCGACTGGATGGGTGGAATGCAAGAGTTAGGTAAGTGTGTCGGGTTTGTGTGTGGGGCTATTTTTTGGTAGTGGAGGAAGGGGCTACAGTGATGGCCCCCGGTGAGAAGCTTCAAGAAGCTCCCTGAGCTTGAAGGCAGACCGACCTCCAGCCCAGGTTGAGGCACTTAGCAATCGAGAAATGCCTCTTCGAATCAATATTTATGAGGGAAGAACTGGTTTTGAAAGAAAGAAGGAGGAGATGCCATTTACCTTAACAAAAGATGACCATAGGCCTAAACAAAGAAGAGAGCATCACTGCCATGAGGAAGGGGAAGACAGAGAAACTCAGACACCCATTTCAACATGCATGAAGAGTAGAAGGTAAATCAGGTCCCTTGCAGCCCATGGAATTTCATCAGTGGAGCAGGTACCCAAGTGTATACCATGGAGGACTCCACAGCACAGCAGAAAGCTGAGCCTTAGGGGAGCTGTGACTTTGAGTGCCCGTTTGATGGAGCACGGAGACCCCCAGAGCCTGAGCAGGGGCAGGAGGTGCACTGGACTGGAGACCGATCTACAGCCCGTGGATGTCCGTATGCCCCCGGGCGGTCACGGTGTCCCCGAAGCAGCCTTTCGCGACAGCGTTCGGCAACCCCCCCCCACGCGGGGACAGCACTGACCGCAGAGCGGTCCCACGCCCCCAGCCCTGCAGCTGCCGCGTGGGTGTGG